CAACGAAATCATAGCTCAATTAGAAGAATCGAAAAATGTAATGAAATATAAGGTGTTCCATTTCGAATAGATAGATAGATAGATAGATAGATATGTATTTCCATACTAATAACATTGAATTAGTTGATCGTCAGATAAAATAGTACTATACAAAACAAAAGTGTATATAATCACAAAACTACAAAACTGCACAAATAGTATAAAAAGTAAAAGGTATAACTAGGAAAGTGTCTATCACAGAAGTTCGAGTTCATTCATGCTCAGATCAAGATACTCTTTGATCGTATAAAAGCAGTTTTTCAGTAAGAAAGCTCTGATTTTATTCTTGAATTGATAAAAGTTCAGGCACCTTACCTTATAAGGTATCTTATTGTAGAGGTGCAGATTCACAGAGTTCCTTTTTGACATCTGTAACCTGAGCTTAGGTATTACAATCAAGTTGCCATTGCGAGTACAATAAGGGTGCAATTCGGATTGAACCGTATAATTGTTTTTAGTATTATGGATTTCGAGTAGAGATTTATAAATAAAAAGTGTAGGAAGTGGCATAATTTGGAAACCCACAAAAAGAGGGCGACAGTGCTCGCGGAAATGCACTCCTGCCATTACTCTAATAACTCTTTTTTGCAACATGAAAGCTTTATGAGAATGACAGGAGTCACCCCATAGTAAAATACCGTAAGATAAATTACTATGGAATAACCCATAGTAACAAGTTCTGAGAACATGTGTACTGACAATATTCCTCAAACGTCGGATCAGAAAGGTGATACTAGATAGTTTCTTCGCTAGTGATTCGATATGAGGAGCCCAGTTGAGCCTATCGTCTAGTTGCACGCCAAGTATCTTCACACTATCGCCTTGATGAGAGATATTTGATTTCGAAGAAACCAGGATAGATTGATTTTTATGTAAGTTAATTTCGAGTTTGTTACAAGTAAACCAAGTTTGAGCTGAATTCATAATATCTTTTGATTTCGTACATAAACTGTTTAGGTCTGCACTTTGACAAATGAATGTTGTATCATCTGCGAAAAGAACGGTCTTTGTCGGAGATATATGATAATAAAGGTCATTTATATAAATAAGGAATAGAAGAGGGCCCAAAACAGAGCCTTGAGGAACACCGTGTTCAATAACCTTTCGATCAGAGAGAGCACCACTTCGTCTAACACACTGGGATCTATTTCTCAGGTAAGATTGAAAAAAAAAGAGAGCCAAGCCTCTGATGCCATAGTGATGAAGCTTTTTCAAAAGAACATCATGCGAAACACAGTCGAATGCCTTCGAAAGATCACACAACGTGAGTTGAGAGTAAGTACCTTCTTCCAGGCCCTCGACTATGTCCGACAGAACTTTTAGGAGAGCTTGTGTTGTGGAACGGTTTTTCTTGAAACCAAATTGCCCAGGGCACAACAGTGCATTTTCTTCCAGAAAGTTATAAAGTTGTTTCTTCAGAATTATTTCTATGATTTTGCCTATAATTGGTATTATAGATATAGGGCGAAAATTGTTCACATCATCAGTGCTTCCTTTTTTCAATACCGGCAAAATAACAGTGTATTTCAAAGCATTCGGAAAACTTCCAACAGAGAAACATTCATTTATCAAAGTAGTCAAAGGTTCGGCAAGAATATCCGCTACTGATTTAATAATTTTGCTATTGAGTTCATATGCATCAAAAGCATTGGAATTTTTGAGGCCAAGAATAATGTCATAGACATCACTGGGAGTCACTGGATTCAGAGCAAAAGAATGAACTGGAGTTTTTATTTCTTTTAAATAAACTGTGGGCTCATGAGGAATGTTAGGCAGTGAGCTTATGATCTTCTCAGCAATTGAAGTGAAGTATTCATTGAACTGTGATACCGATATTTTTGTCTCAATCGGTTTTTTTTTATTCCTATTTCCTTCGTCATTTATCAAATGCCAACTGTCCCTCATGACGTTAGTTGAGTTCAATAAATAGTTATTGTAGGCTTCTGTTTTACAAATTTTGATTCGAGTTTTGTATTCATTATTCAATATTTTGTATATATTCAAAGAACAAGCATCTTTATTAACATCATGTATGGTTTTTATAGCATTCAGAGTACTACGCATTTGTTTGAGTTCATCATTAATCCAAGACACTGGTTGTGCTTTTGCAACATTACCCGATTTTTTTAAAGGAAAAATATCCAGTACTGAATCACTCAGCATATTTTGAAAATTTTGCATTTTCATGTCCAGACTAATATTATTGTCTTCGAGGTAACTCCAATTATTTTTTAAAATACGAGACCTCAGCCTACTTAGACCTTGTTTATGTATTGGACGGGTCCCATGCGACTCATTACTTCTCAGAATTATCTTATTTATGGTGATATATTGACCCCGATGATCAGACAGACAAGGCTCTGAGATCCCAGAACTATAAAGCGTTTTATCTAAATTAGTAACTACATTATCAACCCGAGTAGAACACGTAGGAGTCACACGTGTGTATTCGAATATTGTAGTATGTAGATTGAATGACTCTAGTAAGTTTTCAAAAGTAGTTAAGTTCGGCGTTTCAGCAACTGCAAAATTCAAATTGAAGTCACCGGCTAGTATCACCTTAGTTTTATCCACATTCAGATGGTGTAAGGCACTCTCATATAAGTCTAGGAATGTATAGAAGTTTCCATTGCATGATCTATATATACAAACAATCTTCAACTGTCGGAGTTCAATACCACATAGTTCTATATCAATTTCTGAACAAAAACGTTTCAGAATGATTGGTTCACAGGGAATTGAGTTTTTAACAAAAATAGCCACCCCACCATGGCATCTTTCAGTTCTACAGAATTTTGCAGCTAAGTAATAGCCATGAATGTTCACAGACATGAGATTCTCTTCAGATAACCAATGTTCTGATATACATAAAATATCATATGGAAATTCACTTAAGAAAACAGAAATTTCATTAAGTTTATTGGCTAAACAACGAATATTTATGTGATAGACGCTTACCCTATTTGATTTGTCAGGTATGGGACACACGTCAAGTGATTCATTAAAATTGTTTGCTGAAGGCCTTAGGTTTCTTTCTTCCTTTGTTGATTCCGGTAAAAAAACCTGCTTATATAAGCGCCCTCTGGCCAAATTGCTGGGTTCATCGCAGCCTTAAAGTTGTCTTCATGAATTTTTACTTTGAATGAAACATATTTATTAGGAAATTTGACATCAAGACTTTCGCATGACACTTCAGGAAAGTGTGGCATCAAAATGGTTTTCATTTCTTCAGCCGATGTACCTTTGTCGACTCTACAAACATGTAGAGTGGCTAATCTTGGGACTCCTTTGATGGAAAGGTCAGTATTCTTTCCAATAATTTGGTGCCTATTTTGACGTTTTTTTGGATAACTGACTGTTTTCCATTCAGTATCATTTTTTTGTTTCTTGTCGACCTCCTTCCAGATTTATGTCATCTAGTAAACCAAGATTTGCAATATTACGACATTTGTTCTCAGTTTCTATCTGTAGGATCTTAGCTGCTACGTGTTTTGTTGTAAAAGTGTTATCGTTTTTTTGGGGAACTCCGAGGGAATTCCCAGTTGATTGTACGCTCGCACTGGGTACCACTTTTTCAGCCACCTTTGTGTTTTTATCGACGGCCGTGTTTTTATCGACGACAGTGTTCTTATCATTGATAAACACCTGCTTCGTGGGAACAGTTTTTGCTGTATGAATCGCTGGTGGAATAGAATTTATCTGATTCATTAGATCAATTTGCTTTTTCAGAATACCTATTTTGTCTTGGAGCTCGTTGATTATGAAATCTTTTTGTTTGATTATGTAGACGAAGAATTTAGGATCTAATTTATCAGCTACTTCAACTGCATCGAAAAATGCGGCATCGGTCACACTGTCACACTGATCACATGTATAATCTCCATCAATCTTATTTTCTTCGATGGATGCACATGTAAAATGAAGTTTGTTATAACACACACTACATTTGATGCCTTTAACACATTTACGGTTGCACTTTGGGCACTTTTGATTAGAATTCGAAGAGAGCTCGGCAAACACGTTCTGCTCAGTTGCCGACATTTTATCATTCAATAACAAATAAGCTGCTACTACTATACTGCTACTACGAATACTAACTACTAATAATAATTTCTAGTGAAGCAGATGAACATTATCGAAAATAATTTGAATAAAACGAGCGTCCTCGCCAACAAAACATAAGCATATAATATGTACACATAGTTTCATGATTTTCGATGAGTGGTTCGCTATATTTACATGTATATAGGACTCGTCGTGACATAGCGAATTATTGCAAATCAAATCATCGCTCTCATTATCTGATAGATCGCAGTAGATCACTTGATGCCTATCAAATGTTTCTTATTTATTCGAAGAAAAAAAAAAGTTGAAAAGAAAACTGTTGGTGGCCCACCCCGTACTACACTACAAAAACAGAGACAGCATGAGAGATGCTGCCTGCCCACTCAATGTAACTATATTGACATTGACTGCCTGCTTACGTCTCGGTCTCCCCAACGCTTAGGTAACGATCGTCGATCGGGCGTGTTCGGTGAACACACGGGTATGATCTCGAGACTCTTGTGAATGAGAATAGCTGTAAAAATGAATTGACAGCGTTCTCGCTTCTCGTTGACATGTGACACTAAACTGGAGGTTAGAAGATTGAAAACGAAACAAAACTTTTATGAAAAAATACTTTTGAACGTCGTTTCTGAGAGCAAATTTTCATCCAACATCCAATGTCGTCTATGACCTTTGGCCAGAAGACTTTCACACCTACTGCACCAGAAAAAGGAAGTTTTCCATTAGATCATGAAGGACTCTGTAGAAAACTGATGGTCAATTACATGAAATGTCTTTATACCAATAATAACGATAATTCTGCATGCCGGGAAGAAGCTAAAGGTTATTTATCTTGTCGTATGGAAAATAATCTTATGATCCAGGAAGATCTGTCGAAATTAGGATTTTCATCACAAGAACATCAAACTGAACATCAAACTTCTTCATAAACTATGGTGAAGATTCTAATAGGGTGTACGGGTAGTGTTGCTACAATAAAATTGCCAGTTTTAATTGAAACAATTTCCAAAGGAAAAGGAACTTTTTCTTCTGAAATTGATGTGAGTTGAATCTACTTGCCTTATTACTGACTAGTGTGTGTTCACCTATTGAAACAAAACAGACCAAACATCTGACTACACATTCATTGAAGAGGAATATTCTCAGATGAAATTATGAACATAAAAAAATTGATATATACCTAAAGAGATACATTGAGAATTCCCATTCTCTATGTGATGAAAATAACAATTCTTTCTTGGTTTATTCAACAGAAAACAACAACTTTCCTGGCTATATGCCAAATCACACATGATGAGAATTTGAGAAGAAAATCTTCTTTAGTTGATAATTTGCATTCTCCCTCAGATAAAAATGTATATATGCACATATCATTCTGAATATGCTACAGAGAACAACTACTTTCCTGGCTATTTGCCATGTCAAACATTGAATTATATCTGTTGAACATCCAAAAGAAGAGCATCAAAAATGAAAATGCTCTGAAACTGAGAATTGACATTCTCCCTCAAATCTGGTGAAATAATATAAAATTATAACTTACCAATATGTTCAGTAGGTATTGAGATGAGAATGTATAGGATGAGTATACTTGTATAAACTCTGACCTTGATGAGCTTGGAACTTACTGGGAATTATATCTCACAAATAGGTTATATGACTTCATTCAAATCAACTCATTTCGGATATCTAATCCTCCTCAGTAACCTGAAGTCCAGTTATTCTTTCAGCCATTCTTCATGATATAACACAATTTTCAACAGATATAACACAATTTTCAACAGATATAACACAATTTTCAACAGATATAATTCAATGTTTGACAGGCCAAGTAGTTGTTTTCTGTTGAATATTCAGAATAAAATTATGTGCATACCTATACATATTTTTATCTGAGGAAGAATGCAAATTGCAAAAAAAATATCATGTGTGTTCAATAGATATATAATTAATTCAATGTTGGTCATAGGGAAGTAGTTGTTTTCTGTTGAATAAACCAAGAAAGAATTGATATTTTCATCACATAAACAATGCAAATTCTCAATGCATTTCTTTATGTATCTATCCATTTTTTTATGTTTATTATTTTATCTGAGGATATTCCTTTCCTATACTTTCACCCAATTAAGGGGTTCAAGCTTGAATCATGGAAACTTGTTATTTTTATAGACCTAAAATCACAGACTCCTGATTAGGTTTTCTCAATTCAGAATTTCTTATTTCCATGTCCTGTATAATTTCAATTTGTCATTCATCCAAAAACATTCACATATTGAAATACTTTGAAAAAGATATCTCCAATAATAGGTATACTTTTCAGGTACTGAATCAAGTTCCTATATAAAATGCGAGATAAAATGTCTCAAATTTATATACTTCTCTTCTCTTTGATCTATTCTAAACTTGAATATTTGATTTCTGTATGGGGTTCAACAAAACTATCAATTACAAGGGGGCAACAACTACCCAAAATGTGTACACCCTATTCAAATATCTGGTAATTAAAAAGTACTCAAAATACTTGAAACTGGTATTTAAGGTACTGTTAATAGGTACTTTAATATTGAAGTACTCAAAACGAGACTTAAAAGCTTATTAAATTGTACTTAATGTATTAAAAACGAGATTAAAAATGATACTGGTGTACACCTATTTGAAGAGTTGTTTCCCCTCGATCAATGGGCTTATATCACAAAAAAAATTATTTCATAATTTGATAGAACTCACCCAAACTAGCTCACCACCGCAAACCGTTTCTTGCTGTGAGCTCCCTACGTTTTATAAAAAATTATTGAAATCCCTGATTTTTGGACCTCTGAAAACAAGGCGATGATGTGACGTCAAAACCCTAATACTGAAACAAGACTATTCCAGACAGAGATGAATGATACATGATTTCTGACATAGTGAATTAGCGCGAGATCACAGTTGAAAGAAATAATATATCAGTTACCTCAGTCTCCATCGGGCGTTTGGTATTTTCTTTTAACTAAGGCGAGATGAGGTTTCTACGTCATATAAGAGGGTCCGTTTTCAGAAGGTACTATTATTTATGTCCAAAAATAAAACATTCCAGTTAATTTTTCGTTAATCATTATTTATGTATAAAAGGATCATTATAAATAAACATGGTTTGAGTTAAAAGTTCTACTAAGGTGTACACGCCCATTATAAAGCCTCAAAACTCTTCAAAATAAAATTATCAAATGTATATACAGACTGAATTATTCCAAACCTACTATGAACCTTTACAGAACAAGAGAGTTATAAGATATAGATTCACTATATAAATTCAAATTAATGTCGTTCATTCGTTCAGTTAAACATTGTCAAAAGCATTCAAATTTGGTTTTCCAAATTAATAGTTATCACCACAACAATACAACTAGACAAGCAGATCATTTTTCTATCAAGAAAATTTAATCTGATATTGGTTAAAAATCCATCTATCACAATGGAATGATACAATACAATTCACTACCAAATAACTTGAAGCTGATTAATAGGATTGAAAAATTCAAAAAAGAATTCAAGAAACATCTACTCCTGTAATATTGACATCTTATCTCATTTTTATAAATTTCTTGTACAACTTCTATAGTTTTCTATTGGGTACCTAACAGCTGAGTCAATTGAGAATCATTTTCAGTTGAACTTGAAAAAAAAAAGTTTCTTCTTGAGTGTGAGTCTTATTTTACTGTCTTCTTTATTTTATTTTGTCAAATATATTTATGTTTTCACCATGTTCGCTGCTATAAACAAAGGTGATTTCTTGGGAATAATAAAGTTGATAGATTGATTGAAAAAAAAAGACTTGTCTAGGGGAAGGTAACCTATAGACATTTCCCCCTTTCTGGCAATGCATGAGCCAGTGATATTTTTCAGGAATGAACATGTAATCAAATGATGGTCTGTTGCATTATAAATGGTTAACCCTATATTATATTATATTACTAGCATGTTGTGTAATTTGCTCAGGAATAGAATCAGTAAATCAAGTTGTCAAGTATTATTTTTCAGGTTCGCATCTGTTTGACTGAACATTCTAAGCATTTTCTCCAAGATACAGATTTAAATGATGTGTGTATCTACTCAGATTCTGATGAATGGGCTGCTTGGTCTAATAGAGGTGATCCTGTACTTCACATAGAACTGGCTAAATGGGCTGATATTCTTCTCATTGCTCCTCTAGATGCTAATACATTAGCAAAAATTGCCAATGTATGTATATTATCCACTTATTTTGGCACTTCATTGTCTAAATATTAACAATAATCTTCATTTTTCAATTTGATTTCTCAAAGTAGGTATACAATTTGAAAAAAAAATCATTCAATGACAAAAAATACACACTTCATTCAGGTAAATCAGGTGGAATAAGTAATAGATCTACTTTGTGAGCCCCTGTAATATTTTATGAAAACTGAATGAGTATAATAATCAATGTCACAAAGATTCATTATTTACAGTATAAAATTTCAATGTCATTGCATTAAGAACAGCTTATTGTTTTGCCATAATAGTTATTTATGTACCAAGGACGAAAAACTGTCTATTATAGTCAAGGCTGCAAATTGATAGCCAAGGCCTTAGCCCAGGCTAGCAATCAGGGGAGACAAAAGACAGTTTTTCGCCGAGGTTTTTTTATGTGCTGGTTCCCACGATAAGGGATATCCTGTAATGTTCAGAGAACATCATGAGAACCAAGAAAAATAAGGTAGGAATTGGTGTTCTTCTGTTCTTCTTAAATTTCTGGAGGCTAAAACATCATTTCTAGAAAATATTTTTTCAGTTAAATATTTCTCTACACAACTTTCATTATTTCATTTTCTTTCTAGTTTGGCTATCCATGAAATCGTGTTTCTCTAGTTTTTCAAACTATTCTACTTCTTTTTAGTTTGAATATCTATAAATACACGTTTCATTAGTTTTTCAAACTACTATTTATTACAAAAGCTGACCCGGCGAACGTTGTTTGCTATATACTTACATTTATTTCTAGAACATATTTTATTTGTTTAATATTGATCAACAAACTTTTATTATTCTATTTTATACTTCCTTTCAGTTGGACAATCTATCTCTTCAGTTTTTAAAACTATACTATCTATTTTCTACTTCTATTTAGTTTGGCCTCTAGTTTGGCTATCTATAAAAGTGTGTTATAGTTTTTCGAACTACCATTTATTGCAAAGCTCGTTCGTCATATTGGATCCGCCATCTAGAATTTCCCAATTTTGAAGAAAAAATCATAATCTCCGACCCCGAACACCCCCAGATACAAATTTTGAATAAAATCATTATTACAAAACTCGTCCGCCATATTGGATCAGCCTTCTAAGTGCTAAATTTGACGAAAGAATCATGATCTCTGACCCCGGTAACCCCCATATACCAGTTTTGTATAGAATCGGATCATAATTGAAAAACTCGTCTACCATATTGGATCCGCCATCTTGAATTTCCAAATTTGACAAACGAATCATAATTTCCGACCCCAAAAACCCTCAAACACAAATTTTGAATGGAATCGGATCATGAATACGAAACTTGTCCGCCATATTGGATCCGCCATCTTGAATTTCCAAAATTTGACGGAAGAATCATAATCTTCAACTCCATAAACCTTCAGATACCAATTTTGAATTGAATCGGATCATAATTTAGAAACTCGTCCGCCATATTGGATCCGCCGTTTTGAATTTCGTAATTTTGACGAACGAATCATAATCTTTGATCCCGAAAACCAATTTTGAATAGAATCGGACCATAAAATTACAAAACTATATTGAATCAGTCATCTTGACTTTCCAAATTTTCACGAAAGAATCATAATATGTAATCGACTCCGAAAACCCTCAGATACCTATTTTGAATAGAATCGGACCGTATAATTAGAAAACTATATATTGGATCAGGCATCTTGAATTTCCAAACTTTCACGAAAGAATCATAATAATCGACCCCGAAAACCCCCAGATACCAAAAACTCGTCCGCCATATTGGATCCACCATCTTGAATTTCCCAAATTTGACGAAAGAATAAGAATTTTCTACCTCGAAAACACCGCAGATACCAATTTTGAATAGAATCGGACCATATTATTATATTATTATGTATAAATGTAATTTGTATTGCAAATAAAATGTAATTTGTATTGCAAATAAACACATATTATATTATATAATTACAAAACTATATTGGATCAGTCATCTTCAATTTCCATATTTTCATGAAAGAATCTTGATAATCGACCTCGAAAAACCTCAGATACCAATTTTGAATAAAATCGAATTACAAAACTCGTCCGCCATATTGGATCCGTCATCTTGAATTTTCAATTTTTTCAATTTGAAAGATAGTGTATGGCCGATTCTCAGACCCACCAAATGTGCAAAAAATTTTAAAATTTTCATAAGAATCGGCCAAACCGTTTCGGAGGAGTTTGGCGTCAAACACCATGACGGGGACAGGAGAATTTGATGTATTAGATCTTTCTATTTTTATTATGCCATTCTATAATATTGAAATGCAGATCATGTAACCACAGTCACAGTCCATTTTCTCCTCAGAGCTCTATACAGGGTGGCTGAAATTAGAGCCTCATCATTATTGGGATCTCCTAAACTATTAGAGATACTGGGGGTTGGTTAAATTATGTCAAAGTTGTGCAATTTTATGCCAAACAAAATGCCGTTTTTAAACTTGGAAAATTCCGAACACTTTCGAAGATGTTGAAAAGGAATATTCTCAGATAAATTATGAACATACAAAAATGGATATATATTTATATAAAGCAATACATTTAGAATTCGCATTCTCTATGTGATGAGAATATTTACTCTTTTTCAGTTAATTCAATAGAAAACAACTACTTTCCTGTTTTCTATTGAATTAACTGAAAAAGAGTAAATATTCTCATCACATAGAGAATGCGAATTCTAAATGTATTGCTTTATATAAATATATATCCATTTTTGTATGTTCATAATTTATCTGAGAATATTCCTTTTCAACACTTTCATACCCAATCAGGGGGTTCAAACTTGAAAGATGGAAACTTGTGATTTTTATAGACCTCTAATCGCAGATTCGTGATAGAGTCTCAATTCAGAATTCATTTCCACGCCCAGTATGATGAATGTCAATTTATCATACACCCAAAAACTTTCGAAGATATCCGAAAAAACCGAAATTTCCTAAAATCTCTATTTTTTTCGAGTTATTTGAAGACATTAAACAAAATGAATGACATTTCATCACAGCCACTTTTTCTTTTCCACAAGTTTGGGTTTTAAAATTCGAAATCCGACGTTTCGTCTTCCAGAAATCATCATCAACTTATTTTGTTAAATAGGGACCTAGATTTTTCATTCAATTTTTCCTTATCTTTGGATAGCTCAAAAAAATTTCGAATGTTTCGTTTACAGAAAATGACAATTCTGTATTTTTTTATTATTTTTTTCATTTTCTTCCAACAATGTTTGTTTTTCTGCAACCGACACAAAAGTCGTTCATTTTAGTAGGTACCAAAAGTAGCTCTTGAATTGACGTTTCTATTAATGCCACAAAAATAGGTATGTTGCTTGACAACACATTTAGTTCCTAGGAGCTAAAGTTAAATTTTAGCTCCTAGGAACTAAAGTTGAATTTGAACTCCTAGAAACTAAAAAGGATGTACTAGAGGTCATCAAGAATAAACAACATTGTTACGGTTGGTTATTTGGGTTGGGACGCATACCTGATTTGTTACCAATTTCGATATGAGAAGCCTTCAAGATTCACATACTTGGTTGATCTGTATTTCATTCGTTATTATCGGGATGGATTACTTGTTTTTGAATAATCACGGCCAGCAAACGTTTTTTTTTTCTCAAACAACGATATTGTTTACCTCCATTTGATCAAGCCAAACACAGTGGACTATGGAGAGAAATAAATAATCGCTATTATTATTGTTGATATGCTCACTAACCTAACATTTACCACGTCTTGTTTCTATACCTGGCACTGGCGCGGTATTTGCCATTAAAGCACTTGGTCCATACACAAATATGTCACTCTGTGATTGTATTTACATTGAAACTACAATTCGTACATCTTTGAAAATTGAATAAGCCTGCTATAAATGCAGGTAGAATATTTTCTTATTTGTTGCATTGCATACATATGGCACGGCATTGGTGGTTACTTCACATATTCACATATTTATTTGAGTTGATTGTTTCGGTTGCAGAAAAAATCAAAAGTGACTTTGTTTGACTCGCAAATTTTGCTGCCGCTCGGCTTCGCTAAACGCTCCGCCTAGCAAATGCAAAATTCGCTTGTCAAACAAAGTGCCACTTTTGATCCTGATGAAAAAACCATCTACCATTATTTCTTTAAGGGTTTATGCGACAACATACTAACCTGCATTGTTCGAGCCTGGGATCTTTCCAAACCTCTGATTTTTTGCCCTGCAATGAACACCAAAATGTACCAGCATCCCCTGACCGCTCAACAGATCTCAACGCTCAAATCTTGGGGGTACTATGAGATCCCAGTGATTGAAAAACAATTAATTTGTGGAGATGTGGGTCCAGGTGCCATGGCCGAAGTAGAGACTATCGTAGATTTTTTAAAAAGTGTAATGAAAGAGCGGAATATTGAGTGATATGTTCTATACTGCTGTTTTATTTTAGATGAATTTTGTTATAGTGAATATAGTCTATTTGAAATAAAGGATAGTTATTAAAACTGCTTATATCTCATTTCAATCCTCAAAACAAGTAATTAAAAAATATGGCACCTACCTTACTTTTTCTACTCACCAGTGGCGGCTCCTCAGAGGAGGCAACGGAGGCTGAGCCTCCTCAGAGATTTTCCTCAAACTAATATTATCTATACTTTCTCATTAAAAGAACACCAAAATACATGGATTTTGATTTTATTTCCTGTTTTAAGTCAAATATTTTTGAATTGGCACCAGTGCTTGCCCACGCATCACACGTTGAAGTCTGCAAATCACGCGTAAAATATTCAACTTGGCAACATCTATAGGAGGCTAGACTCATTCACAACGCGCATCCTACGCGCTCAATGCAAATGCCCGAATACGCCCGAATAGCACGACGTGTTTGTCGTGTCGCTTCGCGAATTGCGGACAAACGAGAGTGCATTGTTTATGTTTATGCCGGGTTAATGGTTAGGGGCTCTATAAATTTCTGAAAAATTAGTGTTTTAAACGATTGCGATTTAGTGGAATACTTTTTGGTGAACCCATTCAGTGCTTTGTCTTATGAAGATAAATTGATTGTGAAAAACAAACGTACGACACCGGAATTAAAAAATCTGATTGTAACAGGTAACAAACAAAATCGTTCATTCAATTCTGATAATTTTAGAAAATATATCTGGCTGACGGGATCTGAGGTAACGAATAAGCTATTTTGTTGGTACTGCCTATCATTTTCAACCGATAAGTCATCATGATGGGGGCGATTAGAATATGATTTGAAAAATTTGCCTCGCGGATTGGATAGACACTGCAAATCACAGGAACACATCTCTTCAAGTATCAAGTTCAGGTTAACTGGTAAACAGAATGTCATTAAAGCTATTGATTTGGGTGAGTAGAGAGTTGTTTTTCACAATAAATCTCATATCATTCAACCTCCTCTGTCATGAAAGTCACGAGCCGCCACTGCTACTCACATAACTAAAATGACATTTAGAGTACGGCTATGTACTACGATAAATAATGGATTAATCAGGGATTTATCATCTGTGATTTATTCAAAACATTAAACACATTATCCAGACTGATTCACGGTGGATAGCACATTAGACGTTTCTGGCGAACGCAACTCAGGATTATTCTGAAAAGTTGGTGCCTTGAATTATTAGTTGTGTTCTATCGACTTAAAATATTCTCAGCCTTGCGACGTTGCCACTTATATTGAAAAGTAGCAGCAACTTTGTTTTTTCAAATGGGACACCCTGTATATTATTCCATTTTCAGTTTCTCCCTGAAGAGCTGATTTCATCGATCTATAATACTTGGGGTCTAGCGGGAATGATAACAAAGATATAGGGTGTGAAAAATCGAGATTTTTCAACTTTAAGAATTTTTTGTTTCGAAACTATTCATAATTGGTCAAAACGGTTTCCATGTCCCTATCTTAACTTTTCACGTACTATTAATTGTTATTTTATTGAAATAAATACAGGGTGGTTCAGAATTAGGATTTTTGGTCTTTTTAATCTATGGTATTGCCATTATAATATTATTGTTTGATAAATAACTTTCTTCTCAAGAAGAAGATTATCAATTGAAAGAACACAAGGAATCCTGATTGGCGATAAATCCATGATAAATCAACATTTTCGCAAGTTTCATCAAAAACTGATCAAAGTGCTTTGTTTATTTGCGATTTCATTAGTTTGCTGAACTACAATTCGGTTGATGACGTCACAGTGTTGCCATATATTGACTCAAAAATAAATGTCTCGTGCGCCGCCATTTTGAAAACAAATGTTAA